CACCCACTGCCTTGTGGGTCAGACTATTGAGCCAAAGGCTCCGGGTGGAGTCCCCCAAGCAAACCTCCAAACCACCCACTGCCTTGTGGGTCAGGCTATTGAGCCAAAGGCTCCGGGTGGAGTCCCTCAAGCAAACCTCCTAAGGACAACGACCACCTCGCGTGCGATTGCCCACCAATGCAATCGTATGCCTGCGCGCAAAGCACTCAGCATCGGGTGCTGGAACGTGCGCACACTACTGGACCGGAACTCCAGCGAGCGCCCGGAGCGACGCACTGCACTGGTCGCAATGGAGCTGGCGCGCTACCACATCGAAATTGCGGCGCTCAGTGAAACTCGGCTCGCTGAGCAAGGTAAGTTACAAGAAGCAAGTGCTGGCTACACATTCTACTGGGTGGGGAACGCCGCCTCAGCACCACGTGAACATGGAGTCGGATTTGCAATATCCGATCGCCTAAATGGCCAGCTGGTGGGTGAACCAACGGGCATCAGCGCGCGACTGATGACTGTTCGCCTACGACTCGGAAGAGGTAAGTTTGCTACTTTCATAAGCACGTACGGTCCGACCATGTGTTATCCTGCTGACACGCGTGATCAGTTCTACACTGAGCTATCCTCCGTGATACGGTCTGTGCCGAAGAGCGACCGACTATTTCTGCTGGGTGATTTCAATGCGCGCGTTGGGCGTGATGCATCAGCGTGGACAGATGTTATCGGTGCGCATGGCATTGGTTCAGCGAATGCGAACGGTGACAGGCTGCTCTCACTGTGTGCCACTCACGGCCTGACGATCACGAACACTCGGTTTGCACTGAGTGCGAGTGATATAGCAACTTGGACGCACCCACGGAGTGGTCACGCTCACCTGCTCGACTATGTCATCGTACGTCAGCGTGATATGCGTGAAGTGCGCATGACACGTGTACTGCGTGGAGCTGAGTGTGGCACTGATCACAAGTTGGTTCGGACCAAACTGTACATATATTTTCGTAAATCGATGTATTGCACTCCCGCCGTGAATCGGCGTAAATTTAACATTCTCTCCCTCGGTACTGTGGCGAAACGTACGGAGCTAGAGAAGGCGATGGCTGCACGCCTCTGTGGTGATGTGGACTGTATAGCCACAGTGGGCGACCTGTGGCACCACATTCGCGACCAGGTGACAGCTGCTGCGGAGGAGACCATCGGGCGCGCAAACTGTAAGCGGCCTGATTGGTTTGATGACAACAATGTGACGATTGACGCATTGGTGTCAGAGAAGAATGCAGCATTTGCTGCACATGTTGCAGACCCCAGTGACTTGGGGAAGAGTAGTCAGTTTCGCAAACTTCGACGGCGACTGACCCGAGGTCTCCGTCGCATAAAAAATGCATGGTGGACGGAGAAGGCGAAGCAGATGGAATGCTACGCCGAACGCCGTCAACACAAGGAATTCTTTGACTCCTTGAAGGCGGTATATGGACCGAGATTGGAGCCGCTGAGGACACTGATCGATGGTAGTTCAGGCGCTACCTGCACCCAGACTGCAGACATAATGCAGGTCTGGCGGAAACACTTTGACTGTCTCTTGAACAACCGTTCAGAGATCGACTGGCCTACATTGAATGGCCTGAAGCAGCACGATGTGAAGGCGGATCTGGCGGATACGCCGAGACTGAATGAGACGCAGAGAGCACTTGCTCAGCTGCGAAACGGCAAATGTGCCGGAGGTGACGGGATCCCACCTGAAGTATTGAAACACGGTGGACCCACGTTGTTGACTGCGCTGCACCACTTGGTGCAACGCGTGTGGATTGAGGAGGAGGTGCCTGCTGAGCTGAAGGATGCCCTTGTGCTACCACTGTACAAGGGCAAAAGTAGCAAGCAATGTTGCACGAATTATCGTGGCATCAACTTGCTGAGTTGTGTGGGCAAGGTGATTGCCCGAATCCTGCTCAATCGCCTCGTGAGTCAGATTGTGGAACCAAACGTGGCGGAAGAGCAATGTGGATTCCGTTCGGGTCGCAGCACTATAGATATGGTGTTTGCGGCTCGTCAGTTGCAAGAGAAGTGCAGAGAACGACACCAGCCGTTGTACTCGCTTTTTGTTGATTTAACCAAGGCATTTGATACGGTGAACCGCGAGGCACTGTGGCTGGTGTTGGGTAAGTTTGGTTGCCCGCGTAAGTTTGTAAGTTTAATTGTAAGTCTGCACAGTGGTATGCGAGCGAGGATGCAGCTGAGTGGAGAGACCTCGGATGACTTTGCAGTTGTCTCTGGTGTGAAGCAAGGCTGTGTCTTAGCTGCTGCCCTGTTTAATATCTATCTTCATGCAATGTTGTGTTGTGCTTTTGATGCGGCTTTTGCTTACGGTGTTCGTGTGGAGCACCGTATTGATGGTGGGTTGCTGAACATCCGTCGTTTCGGTGCGAGAACTCTAGTCTGTGAGACAACTATCCGTATGTTGCTGTTTGCTGACGACTGTGCGTTGTTTTCACACAGCGCGGATGAGTTGCAGCACATGACTAGTGCTCTGGCTTCGACAGCGGCCAAATTCGGGCTCACCATCAACACAAGCAAAACTGTCTGTCTCTTTCAGCCTTCACCGGAGGTGCAATCTTCAATATTGCCGCAAATCAGCATTGGTGCTGAAGTGTTGGAAACCACCTCCCGCTTCTGCTACCTTGGGAGTGTGATGTCGACTGATCAGCAGCTACACGTTGAGTTGCGTAATCGCGTGTCGAAGGCGGCAGCGGCATTCGGGAAGCTAGAGTACCGAGTGTGGAACAACCATCAGCTTAGCATTGGCACGAAGCTGATGGTGTACAAATCCATGGTACTGTCCGTTCTTCTATACGGCAGTGAAACGTGGACGATGTACCGGCGGGATGTGCGATATCTCGAGCGGTTCCATCAGCAGTGTCTGCGACGAATTCTGCGGATCGGCTGGGGCGCCAGTTGCAGACACGGAAGTGTTGCGCCGAAGTGGGATGTATGCAGTGGACTGCATACTTTTATTGAGACACCTGAGATGGCTCGGTCATGTGAGCCGTATGGATTCGACGCGGATACCGAAACAACTTTTATACGGTCAGCTGAGTATAGGGAAGCGGCACGTGGGGAAACCAAAGTTACGTTACCAGGACATGGTTAAATTGAGCCTCTCACTTTCCAATCTTGATTGCAGGTCATGGGAATCGAAAGCGGTTGGTCGGCGCGTGTGGCGCGATCTAATCACGTAGGCAGTTGCTGAAGTGCAGGAGAAAGCCCTCATGCATGGAGAGAAGAAGCGGCAGTTGCGGAAGCGGCAAGCACCGATGAATTGTACTCCATCGACATCGAACGCATGGTGCTGTAGAACATGCGGTCGCGAGTGCCTTAGTCAGGCAGGCCTAGTGAGCCATGAGAGAGGTCACTCGGGACCACTGCCGAAGCGACGACGGGTCCCGCAGTGAACGTAGGCAGCACCGGCGCAGCGTTTGTAGGCACGCTGAATTCGATTTACTAACCGCATGCTTGCATGCCAAGTCTCTTTATTTCAGGTGGTGGGTTTTCGGTTCTCTCCTAATGCCTTTCTTTCTCATATAAATGTCTAGTGGGCCATGCGCTGTGCCATTTGGGCCACTACAGAAGCGACGACGGGTCCTGCAGAGAATTACGACGAGCCGGCGCAGCGTTTGTAGGCACGCTGAATTCGATTTACTAATCGCGTGCTTGCATGCTAAGTCTCTTTATTTCAGGTGGTGGGTTTACAGTTTGTGCCTTAATGCTTTTCTTTCTCATATAAATATCTCCCTGTACTCTATTCCATTAACTTGCACACATCGCTTCAGCCAATTGTATTCGATTTCCGTAGCATATTTGTGTTCGTGGCATTCCGTGAACTATACTTCCTGACCTCGTGCACTTAGCTAGGATTTGTTTGTAAACAACTTATTACGTATGCTATTTAATTAAGGTTTATATCACCGTTTCCTTATGCATTAATCGAGTTTTTCTCTTTCTCTTTTTCTTTCTCTCTCTCTCTCAAGTGTTTGGCTGTTGTTTGAAATCCCAGGTGTGGATGTGCATGTTGACAAGGTGCCTACCTGTCTATTACCCACTACCTCGTCCATACTGGCTCCAGGAGACAGTTGGTCGTTGCTGGAAGGGACAGGGTGCACGGTCCTTGTGGCCGTGTTAGGATCAAAGAGTGGTTCCATGCAGTCAGTGTGGAGCGGACTACGGTCCAGCCACCGCCTTGTGTGCGCTTGATTCCCCAAATACATTGTGCTTGTGTTTGCCTGTGAAGTAGTGTGGGCCGGCTCCGTTGATGAAACGTGGTTCCCATCCGCATGCCTCCCGGTCTTATTCCTTCGGGTTTACACTGGATATGGGGTATGTGGTTGGAGCTGTGGGTGGTGCAGCGCAAGCCATCCATGGTCCCTCTGTAGGCGCAGGCGTCCTGTGGCTTGCCATAGTGACAGGCAAATCTGAAACCGGATGCCGCCAACCATATATATATATATATATATATATATATATATATATATATATATATATATACATATATACGTACAACGTAAATCCAGTATGTCTGGATAACTTGTAACATTTGTGTACAATTACCGATCATACGCGTCTGTATCACTATGATCATACCATTTTAGGCCTGTCTCGCACTGTCGAAAATAAAACTATTTATTTAACTGTTACCAGTTCGTGGTTAAGACTACTGAGTTACGGGGGACAGTAATGACCTACGTGGCTGAGTTGGTAGATGCGATGAAAGGACTCTTACTCGCCGGATTGCCTTGGCATGTACCTGAACGAATCAATAAACCTGGCAAATGTCATCCGACACATCTAATACTGAATCATATTGGACTAGGCCGCAAACCTTACAGTTCCTTGGGCGTACTTGAGCAATGTTCGCCATCATCAACAGCGGTTCTTTCTTCCGTCCCCTCGCTACCTTGTAGTACCTGATCAGCGTCTAGTTCACCGTATCAACCGAATTGTTAAAACAATGTACTTTTCAGAGCGAATCCGCATAGAACCTGAACCAACATCGCGGAACACTTCCGAACCCGTCATTATCTCATCGCACACAACAGAATCCGAAACGGCCGATAGAGACGATCGCTTATGGTCTTGGGCATTTTTCTCCAGCCTCGAATACGCGACGCACACAAGCGTCGCTGTGTCCACGGCTGCTTTGGAAGCCTTTCTCCAGCTTCTCACCGTACGCCGCCCAATGATCCTGTTCCCGCGTCAGTGGTGGACGAACGAGCCCGTGTTCAGTGGCAATCTGTCCGATGGGGCTGGGTCATTTGTTCACGAAGAAATGCCCTTGGGTGATGCAGACGACTACGGTGAGTAAGTGAGTATATGCGACTACGCAGTCCGTCTTTTGGTTCCGTTTGCATCTGTTAACGAGACACGGTTGCTCCTACAACCTGCACTGCTCATTGGGACGTCTTAACAGCATATATACTGCTGCTGTTGATATCTGGGTTAGATACATGAGCAGTATCTTTCTTTCTTTCTCTCCCCTATTACTCCTTCCTCTCCAGTCGAATTGAAAACTGACCGTTTGTCTAAGATAACTTGAACACATTGGTGGGTTAGACGACTGATGCCCCCCCCCCACTGATCCATCCATTTTACTCGTCTTGGTTCCATTCCTTTCTTCTGTATTCTATCTTGCAACCATGTGTGAAACTCGTTGTTCGCCTTCATTGACTTAAATCGCACATGTTGCACACTTATGCACCACATACGTTGTTATATCTCACGGGTACCATCATTTACAAGGGGGTATATGGTCACTGGATCAGTTAGTTGTTCATCGTTAAACTGTGCTCTGTTTATCTGTTCTCACCCTCTATCGCTTCCCTAAAACTTCTCGCCAACTATCAATATTATGCTCTTTTCATTCACATTTTTCCATCCACTGCTTGTTTTTCCCGCTACTCATTTCTGTTTTCTTCCTATCGAATAATTCACCTGAAAGACCTTCGACACTTCCGACTTATATATTTCTTTATTTATATATTGTCAACAGTCTATAAGATAGACATACAGCCAGCGAAAACCATTAAATGGAAGCAATAAATACAGTGACCACAAAAAAGAAGAAGAGGATGAAAGTTACAAAAAAAGCTTTTGGTTTTTAAATCATGTTTGTCCTTTTTCACACGCCGTTATATCTTTTTTGTCTGTTTAGTGTTTGCGATGTAACTCAGGAGAATCAAGACAAATATTCGTACACATTTTTCATTGGACTCGGTTCTGCACCATCTCCGAAAGAGTTTCCAGCCAGTGGTGTTCCTCATCTTTAATCCCCCAGCCCGGAAGACTCACGGGACCTACGACGGCTAAACAGGAAGTCAGCGCTTTAATAGTTTATCGCCACATAATAAGCTGACCACTGCGCAATTTCCTCCAGCCTGTTTCTGTACAAGCGGAAAGAGCGCGTCGGGGCAGCCATTCGCATAGCATGCGTAAAACGTGGCCTAGCCATCTCAGCTGTCGCAGCGGTACCAGTATGTCAAGTAGCAGTCCCGTGTTACCCAAGACACGACGTCTAACCTCATCGTTGCGCACGTGGTTGATCCACCACGCGAGCTATTCTCCCCAGACATCCATTGTCACAGGCCGAACTTCGACGCAAGTCGTTCGTAAGAATCGGCCAGGACTCACTCCCATACAGCAGCACCGTACGAACACAGGCATTGCACACCCTGCTTTTTACTTATAGTGAAACGTCGCGGCGTCGCCACAGATGCCTCAAGTTGGCGAATGCCGGAGGGCCTTTGGCAGTGCGGAGGGAAATCTCTTTTCCAATGCTACCATCAGCAGAGACAACTTCCCAGGTAAACAGAGTTGTCCATTTGTTAAAGCTTCGTGCCTTGAAGAGTGAGCACGGGTACAGGTGGATACCGATCCAGGATCAGGACTTTGTATTTCGTAGGGGCAAAGGTCATTCCATATTTTGATGCTTCAATCGCCAAGTGCTCGTGTGCTCTATGCGTCATCTCCAAGCAAGGCAATATCAGCATACTCCAAGTCGGTCACGCGGCTGCCAGGAAGAAGCTCTGCACCAGAACCCTAAAAGCCCTCGAGGGCGTTTAAAAGGACATGATCGCAAAATTGAAGAGAAACGGGACATGAGGCAACTCTGTCGTACATCGCTACTGACGACAAAAGGTGCAAAGAGCTTACCGTAAGCCCTTACTTTACCTGAGACATTGCACTGTAATGTTCGAAGGATGGCGATATACTTTTCGGTTACTCCATTCCTTTATAGGCAACGCCATAAAGCTGACCGATTGACGGAGTCGTAAGCGGCTCGGATGTCCAGAAAGACAACGATAGCAAGCTGGCGGCAAAGATGACGCGTTTCAAGGAGTTGGCGGAGCGTAAACAAGTGGTCTGTACGCCCTCGGTTAGGGCGGAAGTCAGCCTATTCTTTACGGGAGCGCAATTCTTTAATCCGAGTTAGTCCGTGGAGTACAATGGATGTTAACAGCCTGGAGGCAACAGATATTGGACTAATCCCTCGGTGGTTAGCGCACAGGGTACTGGTGCCTTTCTTGAAGATCGGGACGATAATTGATTCGCCCCAAGCGGATGGAACTGTTCCTTCACACCAGATCTTAGAGAACAGAGCTTGAACAGCTCCGGAGGAAGTTCGTCTGGGCCGGAAGACTTGAATCGCTTCAAGCGTCTGAGCTCAAGGCATGCCTCAACTTCCGTTAGTGATTCCAATTAGACGTTCCAAGGCGCGCATCTAGGTATACTCATTAAACTCGCCGGTGGAGGAGACCAGCTGAATTATGTGCGGAAGTGTTCAGTCCAGCGATCCATCCGCCTGTGTAATTTGGTGATCGGCGTTCCGTCAACCTCGCAAATGACCTCACTGACACCAGGTCTTTTGTGACCAGTGGCGCGAATGACCTGAAAGAGCTTGTGAAAGTTTCCATAGAGGGCTGCCATTTGCATCTCTGAGCCGCGCTGGAACCACCAAGTTTCGCGATCAGCTCGCAGGCTTTGCTTACGTTGTCGGCTGTGGATGCGACGCATTGCGCTACTATTCGAATCGGACATGATAACTCTGCGACGATCAAAAACTTCCTGTGAGTGTGCGGAAATCCAGCCCCTTGTGATTCCTCAGATTGAATGACTGAAAGATAGTATCGCTTCACGCAGGAAACTTCAATGATTTTCAGAAAACTTGGTAGACGACCGGTTAATGTATTTATGATTATGCACAATGATTTTCCATGTCTTGAAGTGGAGTACTAATGAATGCATACAACAAGAAAGCTTCCTAAGCTGATCGGATAGAAAGGTCAGCTAACCTGTTGGTGTCGAGCGTCTGGAGCTTTTGTTTTGAGGAGCCGCCGAAGCGCATGCAGATGTCTGCGCAAACCAAAGCGTGCTCTGTATAGAGGTAGGTAGACCAAATCGATCTACAATCCCGGACGCTGCCTCGCTGCTTGCAATGTGATCTATTTGTGGCCACGTTTGCGTTGGTGAAGGGGGTCGACAGGTGGCTGCGCCTCTTCTGATATGCCTAAAGTTCGTACTTGAACGAAAGAGACGGTGGTCTTTGCATAACGTGAGAAGTCTATCACCGTTGTCAGAACGACTCTCATCAAGCGCGTGACTGCCACCAAGATGACGTTCACACGGAAGCAGCCGAACTACTCGTGCATTTAGATCTTGGGCAAGGACGATAACATCGGACTTTTCGGCCTTGTTCGAAAGATTGGGGAGTTCACGATACAAGTCATCCTTAACCGATGTACAGCTTCAGTCGGTTAGAGCGTAAGCAGAAACGAGCAACGAATTGCGCCTCTCTTCACGATGTCTGTTGATTCTATATGAGCCTTGAAGCGGAACGGCACACAGCCGGCTGTCGATTGGAAACCATTCGAGTAATGCAACTTCTGCTTTGTCACTCAATGCGATATCGACACCAGCCGAGCCGGCTGCTAGTACCTCCATGTCACCTGACAGACGTAGGTTATGTATGGTTTCAAGAGCAGTCGGGGAGGATAACTTAACTAAGGTGTTGGGGTCCTGCAGTCTAGTCTCTGAAAGGGAACAAACATCGATGGCGTGAAGATCTAGAGTGCGCGCCAGACCAGCCTTTTGTCCACTCTGTAGGAGGGTCCGAATATTGAATGCTGCTAGGCGGAATGAAGAACGTGGTTGAAGGATAGATGATAGCCGGACGATTTGGATCTCAGTGAGAAGGGCATTGTAAGTAGATTCGACAGGTTATGGATTATCAACAAAAGTTGGCGTGTGATGCAGCGAGAGCGGCAGCAGAAGTGAGCGATATAGTAGTAATTGCGAAATTCATGATACGAATTGTTGTCGGAGTAATAGGTGCCAACTTGTGCGGCAATGTCAGGTGAGATGACTGCTGATATCATCACTGGAAAAGCCTTATGTTTGATCTTGTAAAAAATTTTATTTTACCAGTTTGGGTTTGCTTTTTAAGATACGATCGGACTAGCTACACTGAGCCGTGTCTCAACCCATGGATAGGCTTGTTCTTGTTATAGGGTTACCGTTTATTGTTGGGTATCGCCACATTCCATTCCCGGTATCGCTGCTTTTTAATATTCTCCGCGCATCGCATCTATCATAAGCTCCTCTATATAAGGTGCCGCATTTTCATGCTACCAGTTTGTTGCACACTCGTACACATTGCTTGTGTCCTTGATTTTGCCTCACTTCCTACGACTGCTCTTCTTCGTTTCTCATACTCCAGTAACGATGAAATTCCCCTCTGGCTCTCCCCCTCTGCACTCTATGGACATCTACTCCGTTTGCCCGGGCACGCTGGACAGCATGACAGAGGACGTGGTCGGCGGATTAAAGCGCTCTGTCTCTTCCCTCAGTGTTGCGTCCTCTTCAGACCCACCGGATGCTGGACTTGTCCAAGCCCGAGAAGAGGTGCTTAAACAGATGTCCACCGTCAAGGCTCGTCTCGTACGAGTCCACGAGCAACAGCAGATGAACAATCCGACCCTTCACCCGAGTGAAGACGGATCTTGTGACTACACCGTCGTGGATCTTGGATTAGATCACGATCAGTCAGCTGGGGATCGCTCCCACACTGGTTAGTGTCGGTTTAATGTTCATATTCAATGAGTTTTTAATATCATCTGTTTGTTCATTATACCGTGCAGTTCCAAATATATAACCGACAAATTGCATCGATATTTGATTCCCACTTCCATTTATGCAATCGGTTCTACCACCGGTTACTCTACTTTGGGCCAACGGAATACTGGCATTATGTTAATGTGCAGAGCACGTGAATTCACACACACAGCCACATACAGCTTTTATAACCACTTTGAGTTTCTTCTTCAAAGGCCCTTTGGGTCAACATGTAGCTCAGGTACCGTGATAGAATTTTCTTGGACCGTTACGCTGTTTCACTTTGAGAACAGAACACTACCACGGTTTTTGCGGTTGCCCCCTAATCATCCCATTCAATTTCAACAGTCGTTGTTTATTTTACGACTTGTTGGAGATGATGTCGCTTCCCGGCTACTATCCATGTCCGGGTGACGGGTCACAGTCCAAAGGCCACGCATACTCAACTAACCATTTTTGTTGTACATAATGATCTTCCTCTATATCAGGGACTGTTTATCTGTTTTTCCTCCACTCTACTTCTAAATCATGTGCGACACATCTTTTGGGTTGTGATGGGTTTGTCACGCCTTCAAAGGTCGCCTACTGACCTAGGAACGTGAGAGGAGTCAACATTTTCCGTAATTTTTATTACGTTCGCCCTCTCTGGCGCACAGCAGTCTAATCGCGAGACGATTACAATTACTCCATATTGGGTGTGCTACTGCATTGTCCAGTGGGTTTTCTGGCTATACACCGTCACTCATCTTCTCCACTATTGGTGATTTTGCATGGGTACCTTCGTTACAAATAGACTTTTCTTCTCGACGATGCGAGATACGCCTATATCGGTATGATCGGGTAAGTGCAAACTTTATAAAACGTTGATCACAAGTGGATCAGGCAAATTACATCTCAGATAATTACGATTGGAGAGACAGCGAAGAGATAATAAATGGTTGACTGAATTGTAATGATTTTGGGTCGCCTTTAATCGTTCTCTCACATCCCCAATACAGCTAAACCACAGGTGTAATAGTATGATGCTATAGCATGCAGTGGGTCTTATGAAACTTATATCCTGCTCGTACGCTTGGCTTGTTGTTATGGAACAATAAAACCATTTGCTTACTTTCTGTACTGGCAACAACTTGTTGATGCTTTTTCGAAATTCCTGTTCGAGAGTGTAAGCATGTGTTCCGGGTGGTACCTTGTTTCAAACCCTGGTGTACATGTTTAGGAAAAAGCTGGCAGACCTGCTGGTCCTGGACTTACGTTCCGTCACTGAGTTCTGTTTCTGTCGTGTGCTGTAGACTGCTGATTGCATTAATGTCTTGTTGAGCTTGGAAACATGTGCATTTCTGTGCACAATGCTGAAGAATATACCTAGGTTACTTTTTATGCGCATCAGGCTTGACCTTTTCATATCGTTCAACATATTCCAGTTTTCAAGAAGCACCTAGGATGCATTTTGTGAATGCTCTCGGTACTTGTTCCAGTGCAATGCGGTCGCGCTTTTTGAGCTGCTATACGCCATTGAGCAATAGTCCAACCTGGGTCGAACAACTGTTTAGTAAGAACGAACTACGGATTCATGTAGGGAAAAAGTCCTGAGCACCAATCCGATTTTCTGCCTTGCTCTCGCGGTAACCTATTCTACTTGTTCACGGAAATCAAATGAGCATAAATATTGCAATCCCAGATCTCTAACCGTAGGGCAGAGATTAAGTGATTTGCGATCAAGAGTCAGGCCAGTATGAGTCAAACCGCACTTGTTGGACATTACACAACAGTTATCGGTAGAGAAAGATATTTTCCACTTTGAGTACGAAGTTTAAAGCGCATGGAGGTCGCGTTGGATCATGGTAATAGCATCATTGGAGGCTTCCGCACGGAAAGTGTATACGGTTTTAATGTCATCGGCAAACAGGCATGGTGTACCGAATTTTACAACGTCGAAGGTATTGTTAATATATCTTGAGTACGATAACAGCCCAAGAACACTTTCTTGTATCACACCACTGATGACAAGTGTAGGTTCAAACTTGTGTTCTTGAATTTGTATTACCTGCGTTCGATTTGTAAGGTATGACTTGAACCAAGAAAGCACTGGGTCATCGATTCCGTAGGACATCAATTTAGCTATCAGTTTTTCATGAGGCACCCGATCAAAGGCCATGTGTATGTCGACGTAAATTAGAGTAGCCGACTTACCAAGATCATGCGAGGCAGTTATATAGTTTAAAAATTCCAGGTGGCACGTAATGTAAGACTGATTATTCAACAAGCCGTGTTGACTGTCGTTTATCAGCTTTCTTGACAATAGGAATTCGACAGTTTTAGCGTTTATATCTCACTCCATAATTTTTCATATGATAGGTTTGTGGCTTATTGGGCGCTAATTTTAAGCTCGGAATGTGTGCCTGATTTAGGTTGTGGCATGACTATCGCTTCTTGCCACTGAGCTGGTGCGGTGCCGGTGTTCATGGATGGATTGAGCATACTCAGCAATAGCAGAGGGATGTCATCCCCACCCAATTTCACAACTACAGAGGGAATATTATTTGGACACCCGAAATACAATAATTTTGTGCGCCTGATAAGTTGGTGTATATCTTGGAGCTCAAACTTGATATAGTTGAGCTAATCGACTGTGACTGATGGCAAGTATCCACATTGAAGGATACGCAGTAGTATTAATTAAGCATCCCATCTAATATGTAAAGGAGACTAAGTGTAAAAATTTGTAAATATTTCGATCTTTCCCTATGTACGAATAGTCTCTCGCATCGTCAAGAAATAAACGATTTCTTTATGCTACTTTGATCAGGGTCCGATATCCTGAAGCCATCTGATGATATGAGTGAGATTGTGCCTTGGATACGCTTCTTAGTTCTGCGCTTTACAAGACATCAGTTCACGCTTTACCCGTTTTTCTTCAGTTATTTGTTTGGCGTGATAAGCCAGCTTCAACGATGTGACCAAGTTATGGTGTTGCATGATGAATGAGAAGTTACTCGTCTTGTGGGATGCCGTAATTAGTTTTTTTGAGTTTATCAGCTTTTTTTCATGAAACAGCCTTTTCGCGACCCGGAGCCACTATCTGTGTTTGATAGGAGCTAGTGCGTCAGACAACAATTGATGTTGTTATACCGAGCATCAGCTGCAGCTTGCGGCTCGTCGGTGAGGGAGAAAAAGTTCCGCTGAACATGCCTGAGTAAATTAGCAAACGAGTCCCAATCAACTGATTCCTAGTGCCTTGAGAACATTTGTGGCTTGGGCCCATTTGTTTTTGCAAGTCGGGCGTTATTTGTGAATTAATCGGACATCACTCCATGGTCACTACTTGGACAGTGTTCCAGAACATCCGCGGAATCTGGTATTAGGTAAATGGTAAATGTCAGATCTAGTATGTTATTCTTTCTGGTGGGAGTTGTGATATGTTGTGTCAAGCTGTATGTATATAAGGACAAACTCAGATTTGCATACCTGGTGCGCACATGACAACGTCCACGAAATGTCTGGGGATGTTGAAATTTTAATCGGTTATTTTGTACTTGGCTGGTTGATTCGCTGCGCAACAGAACAAATCTTGCAATGCATTAGTTTCTGCGGAATTACTTTATTATTATTAACGCTTCCATCGCCCAAGTATTTAGCTCCCCTTGCCTGGGCAGTACAATTCGGAATTCTATTGTCTTACGTACTCCATCGACTACTCAGCTTGGGCTTCATCCACTCCTTCAGGTGTACCACTATTTCTAGGCGAACTATTGTTATGACTGATTCGCCTTGTTGTTGACGTTGCTTGTGGTTGTTCTCACGTTCCGCTTCTCTCACCCCTATCCACATAGTTAACGCGTTTTCAGTTTCACTGGTCTTTGTTTGCCTTGCACTCATCACCGGGGCGGCATACATTCGGTTCTTGCTGCCCTTCGTCTTGTATTTCAGGTGCCTCAAGTGAAGGGGACGCAGATGCGGTTGTGCCTCAGGCTCCCACCAATCGTCTCCTTGAATTGCGAGAGCTTTTACACACTGCCGAGTCAACAGATGTGACCTCCGTTTCAGAACTCCAATGGCTTCCATTATACCTAATCTTTCATTGTGGTCTCCTTCCAGTTTCGGTCACCAAAACCGCCTCACATATCCCTGTCTCCACAATGAAACCGAGGACCAGCCACCAGCTGTTGGCCATTAGCTGTCTCAGCCAGCTTGCCCAACTTCGTCCTCTGGATTTCCTTTTCAGCGACGTATCAGTTGATCGATACTGCTCGTTGGATACTCTTCCTGAGGTCCAGCCGATGTTCCTAACAAGAGGTACCATCCTGTTCACATGTTTGTTTTTCATTTTCGTGTTTACTGCTCAGTATCAGGACAGCTTGTTGACCTATCGCTTCGACATCGAAGTTGCCAGTCAAGTTCCCCGTCATTGTATCATTAACACATGTTTATTGCTCCAGTTTTGGCCGGACCACCTGTCCTATGGCTCTCCTAGTTTCAATACGAAGTCTGGGTAGTGATAGAATTCTGCTCCTCCTAAACAGTGTTATCATTTGTGCCCAGTAGAGATCATAATCGATTTTCGTTGGTTGGTTCTCACCGTCTGATTCAATCAACTGGTCCACGCGCGTCGTTCGTTCGCCGCTCTTTTCCCATCCCATGCCTGTCCGGCTTGGAGCTAGGTTGAACTTGGTTCATGTCAAGTCACGGCATTTTCGCATTGCCCATCTGTCCCTCGTAACCGTGGTCAGTTCGCATGTGTTGCACTTGCTTGGCCTTCTGTTCGCCCAGGTGACTAGCAGTTTTCACACCTGTATCGCTAGCCTTAGGCCTGTTGGCGCATGCATGTTGCTCGCTCGCAGTTGTCCGGACGAATCCGCCCCCCGCATTGTCGTGAACTACGCTATGCTTTGTCCATGCCATACTGCACCACTTTAGGGTTGCTCATCTGGCCCGTACAATAGCGGTTGGTCCATGTAAAAGGCAATTGGCTGGCTCTCTGTCCGCTGGCTGTGCACTGGTCATCTTCACTAAAACCACCGGTTACTGTCACAGAATCCGTTCGATATAGTGGCCTCTCACACTGCACCCATGCTCAGCCTCGTCACTCCTGTGACCTCTGTGCCTTGCTCACTATTTACTCAGAGCCCCGCTGTTCTCCTTTCTCCTACATCGCAGTTTAGCCTTTTCGACTTTTTCCCTAATCGTTCGGCCATTAGTTGTATCGAGCAGCTTATTGATCAAGCTCCTCCTCCTCTTGTTCAGGCGACAGCCTTTCTCAGCGGTCCCAGTTTGGCCTCGCACAAAATCACTGTTCACTTTGCGCTCCAGGATAGAACTGTTTCCCTTTTGGAATCACTTGTTTTTTTCATCAACTTGTTTTTTTCATCGACGCTACATATGGTACTCCTCTTTGGTGGCGCAAATTGATTTGAATATACATTTTCAGTTGCGCTTTCCTCCAGTACCTGTTTCCGCGTTTGTTCGTAACAATTACAAAATTCTGAACTGACTTGAGCTGTTCGCCATGCTTGTCCTGCACTAATCCACTTTGGCGCAGAAACTTATAACGAATGAAAGCAATCGCTTCCCTTCAGCGATTTAAGAACTACAGCTAGAAGACGACAGTTGGTAGATACAAGCATTTCGTATTGTCTCTTCAGTACTAATACCAATAGCGGACGAGAAACAATAAAAAACGACGCATGTGACCAAACCTCGGGGGTCAAAATAGTAGATGAAAGCGATTCGCTCTTTATGTCCACGGAAGCCTGACACTGACGAATAACTGTTTGTGCACGCACAGCATTGGCTGCATTCGACTAATCGCGTTAGCCTCAGAAAACTACAGAAATCACGGAATAGAGTGCCACACCAAAATTTGGAATACGGTGTCGAGCCGGCTCCGGTGACCAGTAATGAATAAGGGTTTACCTATCGAGGATGCCGGTGGTTTACGCAACGGCGGGGCTTGGGGAGGATAAGACTGTTCGTTTATCCCCACGCAGGATCCAACATCGATACATGTTATTTCATCGGGTAAGACAATGCTCTATCGGTTCTGCCAATGTGGCTCCGCCGTTAGATGTGATTTAGTATACACAGTGAGATCTTGCGCCGATTGGTAGATCTTCCTTCGGATGAGGCACTGGCAACTTTCCGGTTCTGTTGATGATGACAAATGAACCAAAAACTTTTCCCTGTCCATTCAGCGGTGTTCTGTAGTAACACCGTATAAAAAGGACTCAATGAGCTGCGTTCAATGCTCCGGCTGAGGAAGTGGTACCAATGTCGTACCACTCAAAGTCCCCTATGTAAGGCTAGGTCGTAACCGGATTTCTGTTTGCACGTAACCAATGGCAGCACATTCACTCGGATTGTCACAACTCATACCACCGAAACCAATCGCTAATCCCTGTGGGGCTCATCGGTTCGCCTATTATTCGCATTTGCCCCTGGTGATTAGACGTCACCCGAACAGTTTGTCTCCTCCTCCTCCTATGGCTTCTCACTGCGATTCGCGCTCCAGGTGATCGTCAGTTCACACGGCTTGCCAGAGACATATCCACTGGTGCGATTATTGCACCTTTGTTTTCCCCGTTAGCTGCAGTGCCTCCACCGTCGTTGATGCTTCAGGTTTTACCTCCGACTACCCCATATTTGTCGATGGTTTTTGTGCATAGCTGTAGTTTCGTGTATTTTCCTTTGCCCCATTTACTCTCTCCCAACGTCTGCCTCTTAACTCGATGCGTTTGGCTTCGTATGATGAATCGACCACCGTCCGATTTGATGCGATTTGATGATTCCGTTCTCCCTTGAATGTTTCTTAAACATCAACCTCCTAACTGGTATCCATCGAAAGAACCATACTCACGAGTTTTAAGGTCTAATCTCCTAAGCGAAAGTTTTGGAGCTAATACGTTACAGTTTCTGCTAGGTGATAGGCCGACTGCGCGGTTTGCGGACATCCTTATTCATTCAAACCAATGGGATCCAATGTTTCCATGAACACCCATCCCAGTAGCAGACAGTCAGGGCGGCCAACGTTTCATCCGATCGCTTCATGTACCAAGCGATGTTCGGCATTATCTTCAGAACTAGCCCTTACGCACAATGCCCGCTAGGAGCTTTTTAATCCAACTGGCCATCCATGACTTTTCTTAAACGATCATTCCTTATCTTTTCTCTGTGCGATTAATGAAACCTCACTCTTCGCTTATGCAATTAATATTTTTCCAGAACTTGGACTCCTCTTGGACAATCTAAAAATGAACCTTTGACGGTGGGTGGTTCGAGACGGTAACACACATGTGCAAAGCTGACTATTTCCCTCTATGACGACACATTGCAAGTTTCTTCTCCAGCTGAGGATCACAATCTTGTCAACACTCATCCTGACTAGTGTGACGTTGATCGTCTTCACTGGTTTCATCCGTCTGAGCTAGGCTGGACCATCGTACACCAACATGAATCACCTATCAGACCGATACAAACCCAGGCTTCCTTTCGAATGGCTTGCGCGCACCATTGTTCTGCGGTTGTTTCGCTTAACCGGTCCGTATAGATAGTCTGTTTTCGCTTCAAGCAGTTAGCGTATTCCCAGGGTTACTATTCCCTTTGTGGAACCAGTACGTTGGCAACAAGCAGCACTTGAAGGAACAACCATATCTTGGGGATACCACTCCGTCTCCATTTTTTCTCTCCCCCGCGCCTTGGATCTTTTGCTGCACCTCCCCTTGTCCGTCGACACTGCATGTAGGCTAAACTGTATGGTACCGTGCTGTTCGGTGGACAAACTCGTATGTTCCCCGGCTTGTGTTCATCCATCTCCGCCCGTTCATGGATGCAAATGTAGAAGAGCCTGTTTCGAAACCAGCCCTATCTTAATTTCATTATTACTGTATGTATACTAATGTACATTATATATGTATATGTATATATATATACATATATATATATATTACGTTACCATAATGCTCGATCCTTTATCTCCTTTCCCGTGCTGTACTTCAGTGGATCTGCTGCTGGAACTACTTCAGACACACTCCGATCCGCACGTCCGTGGACAATTGTGCATTCTCATTGGACATCTGATTTCCGCCTCTCTAGTTCACTGTCGCTTATCCGATACTGAACAACCGGTCGCTCCCGTCGTGGCACAACTTTCGCGGTTGTTGGACGCTTTGGATAGCGTTTTATCTTCTGATGTGGGTTAGCACACTGTTCTCCCACTTGATCCATTTGTGTAACTTCTCGCTCAGTTTGTCCACGGGTCAAGTTACCCATTACGTTTTTGGTTCCATACACGTTGGCAACGACTATCATTCCGTATACAATCCTCCTGGCCTACATGTTCAAGTAGTTGATGAATTTCTACAAAACAACACATTCTTTGTTATCGCAGTTTTCGATTCACTGCATTTCCCCCCATTTATCTGTTAGGCTTCTGGTTCCATATTCCGTATGGCTTTCTCTGGTCTCCGCATCTGCGTCAATACTGGCTTATGTGGCTGCGCGGATGTTGACAAACCACTTTCTACTGAGGAGTCGCAGACAACTGCTCTTCCATTGGTGACCGTTAAGTGCTTTGCACGCCACCTCATCACTGCTGCACGACACCCGTATCGCTTGGTTCGTCGTGAATTTCTTCTCTTTGTGACGGAACTGAATTGGACGGCCTTGAACTATTTGGAACTGGTGTTTATCCACAATTCGATTTGTGCGGTAAGATGCTTCTTGACTTCTTTCTGATTGGTTTGATTTTTAACCTTACATTCTGGTCTTCTTATTCGAAAGAAGTACTTTTCTCACTCTCGAGCTTTTACCTCTTTCACCATGAGATACCATTTCGCTTTTCGTTAGGTAAATCCAGTCACTTCATTTCCGAGGCACTTTACGAGTTTGGTGTTGTTATTCAGCCATTGATCGAAGGGATAAGACGCCTGTCTTCTAACCCAAAGATCACTGGCTTGTAGGTGCTGGTTGTTGCGTGACTGGGTTCCCCAGCCTCGTCAAAAGAAAGAAGACACACCAGAACTACACACAAGCGTTCTGCTCTCGATTCTGCGGTTGCGGTACCATCAACTGTGTTTTAAAGTCTCATTGGCTCACTCGATCAATAATCTGATCGAACGCACTGAGGCACACACGACTTGGCCGTGCTAGCGTGGGGCTACCTGTTTGTCCACCGATTGCTGACACACGTAAGGAACTGACGTTGCTCGCTTACTGGCTACCTCCACACGGGTGACCTTGCAGTATCTTTCTCTCGTGTGCGACTGTCGGTAGTTGTCTAGTCGCGGAGCGTCAATGCGGTGCACCGGCGTGTTGCTGATGCCTTTCTTCTTTTTTTCTATTTGCACTTTTCTCCAAATCCCCCTCTCCCTTGATGCAATTCCATGTTAACACTCCACCATATTACTTCTTTGGTTTATAACATACATAGTGGCACAAAAGGGACTACTCTCCAAGGCACGAAAACTGCTGTCTTTTCGTTCAGACTGTACTTGCACATTTACACTGAGTGATGGTGACCGTGCAGCACCTATTTCGTCCATTTTTGAGTCCGCATGTACAAGTTCGCTTTAGCTCCGCTCTGCACAGTAATCAGACAGTCTCAAACTTTACAGCCAATTGGCTCCGTCCCTATGCCTGGCTTGATCCACATCATGTTTTCTCCTAATCCACCTATCGAACTGTCAGACAAGAAACCCATGACGATGCCTTCATTGATTTTGCTGGGTGCTATAGACACATCAACGTTGTATACCGGTACTTCACTACCACCACACAACCATGGTACTAAGAGATTTACATCTGAAATCAAACGGTTTGGAAATTCAGTCTTTCAGAGTCAAAGTACCTGCTCCACTGGAGCAACACTCGGTCACTATATAGGAGATGTAGTTGTACCTGCAAACCAGCTTCTTTTTCTACCTTTGTTACAATGTTGACATCCAATCCAGAGATCATACTCTCAAGGCCAGATAAGTGATCAAGTTGGGTAATAATGGACAAGTGTGACTACATGTCCAAGATGCACACGATCTTGCAGGATCCCAGCAAATTCGTGCTTGATTCAGTACAAAAGGACAACACAGCACAGGATGAGATCAAAATAACCAACTCATTGAAAGAACTAAAACGCGGTAACTACATCGATAGTTTCTTACTTGAGCGATTAACACCTTGTGGTTCGCATCCACCTCGCCTCTACGCTGTGCCAAAGGTCCACAAGCCTTATACCCCACTACGACCAGTGATTGATATGTCTGGGTCTGCTACACACTCAGTCGCCAAGTGGCTTGTGGAACTTCTCGAACCAGTACGTAAAGAATTGTCCGGTCACACTGTGAGTGACACATTTGCATTTGTTCATCGGGTAGAAAACTTAAACGTGAAAAAATATTGATAGACTCCTCGACGCTGGTGAGGACTCGGTAAAAGTGAGGCAGATTACCCGTCTTGGAAAGCAATGTGATCAACAAAATCGGCCTATGAGAATCACTTTTGTGGACGAAGCCAGTCCAAGAGTTATCATGTCTCGCCTAAGTAGGCTGAAAGGTTTGAAGATCCACGTTCGTCCCGACCTGGACCCAGTAGACAGGGAGCGGCTCAAGTCTGCCATCATTGAGTTGAAAAGACGCACTGGTGAGGGGGAAACAAATCTTCGTATCGTAAATTTTCGGGTGGTTTCCAACAATCCGCGAATCAGGATAAACAGGCTGCTCACACTTCAAGCACGCCCGGCGGCTCCTGCTGCGGCCTGCGAGTAGCGTTCACAAACGTTTGCAGTATTATGAATAAGCGCGATGAGCTTTGTTGTTTCGTTGCGTCTGAGCGGCCAGACGTAGTGGGACTAGCAGAGACATGGCTGCATGCAGAGTTATACACCCAAGAACTTGAACTCAACGGTTACTCGTGTTTCCGATGCGATAGACTAAAGAATGCCCACGGTGGTGTCTTACTTTACATCCGGTCTTCCCTGCGTGGGAGACTTGTGAGCACCTACCGAAGTGACGATGGCCTGTGTGAGCTACTGTGATGCTCCATCCGCCTCAGGCGAGGAGAACTGCTTGTGGGCGCAGTTTATCGCAGTCCCCTGAGTCGTTGTTTGGATTGGCTGCCCCATCTTCGGACCCACATGAGTCGTCCACACTTTCTGCTTATGGGCGATTTTAACTGTCCTCGAATACGATGGCCTGATGTGCATTTGATGCCTGGACATAGTGAGGTTGAAGCAAAGTTCGTGGATTTGGTACTTGAAACTGGTGCTTCACAACACATATGCCAGCCAACACGCATATCAACACGTTCAACCTCGTCCTGTCTCGACCTGATGTTAACGAGCTACGAACAACGAGTGCGTGACGTTAGGATTCTGGAGCCCCTGGCTACGAGCGACCACTCCGTACTGATAGCTGATATGGAATTATCTTTGCCGTATTCACATCCGCTGCAACCAGCTCCCAACTACTGGAAAACCGACTTCGATGGTCTTGCTCGAGCCGCGAGCCAACTGGATTGGTCTCTGTCACAAACTGCATCTGTGGAAGATTGTTGAATAATTATAAAAGAGAGATTGACATCATTGTGTTCCAAATTTGTGCCATTGAAATGTCGAAAGGTTGGACCGATTAAGCCTCATTGGTTTGATAAGGAGTATGGAAACCTGGCTCGGAGGCGGCGCAGACTGTGGGACAAATTCCTTCTCTCTGGCTCTGCCAATGATTACGAAGGGTATAAATGTCAGCGAAATCTCTGCAACAGTGCAAAAAAGAATAAACGCCGACACTTTGAAGAGCAGCTCGCATTAGCCGCGAAGACCGCCCCAAAGAGAATCTTTGCATACGTGAAGCGACGCCTGAAGCCGGCGGGTGATGTGCCAGTGCTGGATGGCACGGATGGACAGCCCCTAACCTCCAGCACTGAGCGTGCGTCCGTGTTGGCGGCGCACTTCGCTTCTGTATTTGCGAATAACCAGGTGTCTGTTCCGAGTTCGACGTGTATCGCTTTTACCGAACTCGATAGTCTGCATTGCGGCGTCGAAGAGGTAGCTCAACTACTCGCCAACCTTGACGGCACCAAACCTGCCGGACCTGATGGGCTTCACCCACTGGTTCTCAAGTCACTTTCAACCATCCTCTCTCCTATCGTGACTGACCTTTTCAACAGGTCGCTCTCCGAAGGTTTGTTGCCGGTTGACTGGAAATGTGCGGTGGTGAAGCCTATTCCGAAAGGCGGCGACCCTAGCAAAGTAGACAACTACAGGCCAATTTGTCTGACACCTATATTGGCAAAGGTTGCTGAGAAAATCGTGAAGAAGAGATTGCTGCAGTTGCTACAGTCAAACGAGGTCCTGACGCCCGCACAGCACGGTTTTATGCAAGGTCGCTCATGCATTACTAACCTGCTTGTGACGAGGCATGAGTGGTTGAAGGCAATAAACAAGGGGAAGTCCGTCGACGTGATATTCATCGATTTCAGTAAAGCGTTCGACAAGATCAGTCATGAGGTTCTCCTTCACAAACTTAGCATGTGTGGCGTCGGTGGCTCACTGCACCGGTGGATCCGCGACTTTCTTGTTGGACGAAAGTGGAGGGTACAGGTCGACGACCATCTAACTGACTGGTATCCCTCTACAAGTGGCGTGCCTCAAGGCACTGTGCTGGCGCCCACTTTGTTCCTGATCCACATCAACGATCTACCGCAGCGTCTCCGGTCGCCGTGTGCATTGTTTGCGGACGACATGAAGATTTGGAGAGAAATCGACGCTCCCGACGACTGTGGCCTACTTCAGCAAGATCTCAACCGCTTATCCACATGGTCTGCAGAAGTTCTTCTCCCGGTCAACCCAGCCAAGTCGGTATTTATGAGCCTGGGGAAGGGTGCAGACGGCCGAACCTACACCCTTGACGGCCAAACGCTATATCCCACACCCTCCGTGAAGGACCTAGGTGTACTCTCACGCTACGATTTGAAGTCCGTGGACAACACGAACAGGCTATATCGGAACGGACTGCGCATGCTTTGGGCGCTCAAACGTAGCTTCTGCACATGGTCTGAAGAGGTTGCCACTCGCCTGTTCTCTTCTATCATTAGACCAATGCTAGAGTACGGTTCGCCCGCCTACTTTCCGATTACCCGAGGCGAGGCACAAAAGATCGAACGGGTTCAACACGTTGCTACCAGGCTGATCCCGAGTTTACGTGGCTTTGGGTATGAAGACCGGTGCGAGAAACTAGGACTCTACACCTTGTCCTACCGTCGGGTACGAGTCGACCTCATTATGACCTACCGAATTCTACATCTCGGTGAGTTCCCCATGTTAAGGCCAATGCTGCACTTACGAGGGCCATGCAGCACACGCGGACACAGATACAAACTTGTTGTGCCGGATATGAAACGTGTTCCCCACCCACTGTGCTTCGAACGGAGAGTGGTAAACATTTGGAATAGTTTGCCCGAACATGTGATTGAGGCAACATCTGTGCAACAGTTCAAAACGTTGTTAGATTTGCATTTTGCCTCTATTCGATTCAGAGAACGACTGCATACTTACGATGACATATCACATTTGTGAATCCTGAGATATCGTAAGTCGAATATTTTAAATATTACATGAGAACGACAAGGATATCCACTGTTGACAACTATTATAATGTTTTTCACAATATTTCGAAAGAGTTGTACAGAATCCATTTCTACTTGCTCTATAATACAGT